TGGAAATGTTTTAGGAGTTATAAACACGGGTGTATGGGTAATCATGAGTCACTGTGAAAGTGTACAACCTTCTGCAGAGTGTAAAACTGGTATATCAGCCGTGCTCAAAGTCACGAGCGGCCTTGGAACCCTTATGGAATAGATGATCACTATTAATTAATTGTTTATGCTATTCATTATTCATATTTACATTGATCATGTGTTTTACTTTGGGATTATGACAACTTGATGCTGCTCTTATGCTAAAATTATGACAACTAAAAGCTAAATGCTGTCAAACATATGTCAAGCCTTTTGAGCCTCATGAACCCCATGTTACACTTGTTGAGTACGAGATGTACTTACACTTGTTTATTTTCATTATTTGGATAAAAATCCTGGATGGGTAACAGATTGCTATGGTAATGGCGACTTCCCTAAGGATTGCTAGTCTTGTGGTTAACCAGTTGACATCCTTGTGCTATGGTCCTTCTGCGAGATTGTTATCTTTATATTTCTGCTATATTTATGTGAAGACTGTGATATTATTCGTGATGTAATAAACACTTGTGATGATATTTTCTATAATTTGTCAGCTTATGTGTGTGATTGATCTCTGGGCGCACATAAGATTATGCATCACATTTTATCCTTAAATTTGGGTGTGACACCCAATATTCTTAAAAGGAAATCCAGACACAAAGTGAGTACCTTAGATCATGCATGGGTTTCAAAATTTTAATTCTAGCACTCACATTATTTTTTCATGAGAGAATTGTTCCATCTTTAAGTACGTCATGACCCTTGATGTCTTGTATCCACATTGGTTACTACTTTTGGCTAGGGGAATGTAACACTACCAGAAACCGAAGATTTCGTGAGGGGAATGGTTTTCTGTGAGAGTTAAAAACCTACTCGCATGAAATTAATCTTTTCATGAGGGTGTTGTAAATCTTGCCATGAAAACTTATTTTCATGAGAGTGCTCCACACACCGCCATGAAAATCAGCTATTTTCATGGGAGTATTTAATGCCCCCTCATCAAAATGACTACCCTGCCATGAAATTATCTATTTCCCATCGAGGGGAGGCATCCTACCCTCTGACCGCTGCTGAAGCGATCGGGGACCATCAGGATAGGTGGTCGATGATTTATGGGATGTCTACCAGCGAGACAAAGCTAAATTCCTTCATGAAACGGGGACAATCGGGTCCCACTTCAACTACCCATTGATGCTCAACGAGGCGCACAGCTTAGCCGACGAGGTTAGCATTGGACAGCCTCACCCCATGCAAACGAAAAAACAAACCCGCAAGGGTCCCTGCCTGCTCTAGGCCCACAATAGAGCTAGGGACAAGAGGATATAAGCCACAAAGACCTCGATCTGGTTGGAGCTAAGCCCCCGACCATCTCTCCTTGTATTCTAGTCATCAACCTTAAAAGCCATCTTGGGTTACCCTTGACAAAAGGAGGGCATCTTGCCCTCCGACCACTACGCAGCTATCGGGGACTAATGGGATAGGTAGTCAAGGATTCAGAGGACGCCTCCCACTTGAACTACCTGCTGATGCTAAACATGGTGCACCACTCAACCAACGAAGCAGGCAGTGGCCAGCCTCGCCCCACGAGGGGCAATCAAGTCGCAAGCTTTTCAAACGACTGGCTACCCCAATCTAAATGATCAGGTCACAACTCAACCTTGACCCTAGCATGGCATAAGCCAAAGGGATTACTCACACCCGCAACCATGAGCTAGAACTCAGGACCGAGGAAACAAAGCAAAATCTCAAACAAATAGCTCGGGGGCTGACCTGAGCACTTAAGGGCCAAAACGCTCCATAGAAAAAATCTGCTTTATTCAAGACAAATGTTTACAAAACAGGTGCGGCCTCAGCCATTTACAAGATAAAAAACTCGATGCCGCTGCTATGGCAATATCACAGAAAGCCTTGGAGGTGCCTCCTACAAGTGCGGAAGACGAGCTGGAATGCGCACCTCGTAAGCCTTCTTGTAGAACCCTGACCTCCAGGACGTGGCATGTATGGGGATAGAGAGGTGTAGAGGCACCATCATCTCGTGCAAGAAATACTGTCATCTCCTCTATGACGGGAAGGATCCGCCGGGATTGTGTGAAGCTTCCTCCACATCTCACGCAGAAGACGAGGCCCACTGAATGGTAACTCACCGAGACCCTCGGACTGCTGATAGACTTCCAAAGCAAACAAAAGTGATTCCGAGTTCACGCCCACTTCACGCACCCGACACTACACCACAACAACGAGATTGGCGATGCACAATCTGACGCTAAAAGTGGATATAGCGACAGACGGTCTGTCGCTAAAAAGTTATGGCGATAGACTTGTGCAGACGGTGTAAGTGCTATTGCTAAAACTCTTTAGCGACAGACACCACGTTTAGTGATAGATCATCTTTTGCTCTGAATATTTATAGCGAAAAATAGCCCGCTGTTATTCTTTAGCGACAGATAGCCCGCTGCTAGTCTTTAGCGACAGACAGCCCGCTACTACATATAGTTTTACCGACTGATGATCCACCGAGATAGCTTTAAATGGTTAAAAAATAAAAAATTGATTTGTCAACAATTATTACAAATGTCACACTGAGCTTCGAAAGTTCATTCAACACATACACACCTAGAATTCAACTTCAATAAAGATACATGCATCTTCACAAATTTGACCAAAAGTTTACAGTAGCTCACATAGGTAAGCTCTCCATCACATCCACTTCCTCTAGCTAGAACAGATAATCCATCCTTTTTGTACTAGCCACGAACAAAACTAATTATATCTTCACGTCCAGGCTGCCTGTGAAGCACAAAATGGTTTCGAGACTATCTTTTGAACACTGTAAGCCTTTTGATCACTGAAGGAAGCATAAACATGTTGGTAAGCTAATGAAAGAACTAGTGCTAATCTTCTGATAGCTAAGGAAATGAACGCTAACTAATTAACTATCTAATGAAAGCTAGTTAACATGTGGGAAAATAAACCCAAGAGCAACACTAATTATATGTTCACAGCCTTCTCTTTTCAGGTTTCCTATTTATTCACTAAAAAGTATGTTGATTCAGCCAAAGGGGAGGTCATCAGATCCATGCAAGAAGAAAGATCCACACAAGAAGAAAGGGGAGGCTTCAAGGGAGTGTTGAGGACATGCAATTACCTCGCAGTATGACAAACTAGCCTCCACTTGGGGTTTATAAAATTTCAGATCCAAGCATCTGTCAGGTTTATAAAATTTCAGTGAATTATATACAAATGTGTGCATACAGACTGCATATGCAAAAGAACATACTGCTACCAACAAAGAAGCCAATTCAATGCAAAACCGAGACAAGCAACATGAGTTCAAAATAAACAGCTAGTATTAATTAAATGATTATGGAATTAATGGTGGCCGATATGTAACAAAGGTCTATCTTGTAAGGTCTATCTTGTAATTAAATGATTATGCAAAACCGAGACAAGTTTGCTAATTTTCAGTACTAAAAAAATGAAACAGTAAGGTCTGCACCAATCTCAAAATGCTTGCACCTCTGGGGCACGGGAACCAGGAAAGATTGAGACATACTTAATTCAACAGCATGTTTAGCATTGGAAAAATGAGACAGTACCTTGATCGGGTGCTATGAGTAGTAGCATAATCTCAACATTTGTCATATCCCAAACTATGCAGCCAACAGACATCTAGAGTTCGCATTTATTTTTAGACATACATGTTGGCATCAAAACAGACAAAAGTATAAATGATTGATAGATCAATTGTATAACCACACAGATATAAGTTGGGAAAGGAAATTGAAAACTCAAATCAGAGCTTATAAGTCCTCCGAACTATTAAGCATTTGAACAAATAATCAGCTAACAAGACCAATTATGCACACAGACTCACAAGCATAAAGACTCAGAAAAATACTTGCAATATAATTGTGAGCCTACATGCATGGTGGTGCTCAAAAATCAAAATTGTGAGTTAGCATGTAAGTTTTACTTTAGGTGTAAGGGTGTCATAGTAGTTTTTCTGTGCCTCTTGTGACCTTGCAAGAGCAATTGGAGCACTGATACGATATGAAACTGCACCTATTGGGTACAGATTCAAATCTTCATGTTTTTGTGCAGCGCTCTGTAGAGGTATAAGAGTGTCTGAAAAAGTCAAGCGGATAGACAAATATGTGAACAGTAAATACTGACAGTTTACGGATAAGTAAAAGCAATAACTATTAAGGAGCAGTCTAGTCAGCAGCAGATGCAGGAAACGCTGGCAGATTGTCACATTTTATTTATGCAGCTGTAATCCAGAAAAAAGATATAATTTCTTTAAACTAAAACATGCTCTACCACCGGGTGCTTTTCAGATATGTATAATATAGCTAAGCATTGACAATTCTATTATCAGTCCATATGTAAGAGAGTTATAAACAGTTTTGACTCATGCTGAGTGTGCCACTACTCAAAGTAGTGATTGCATCTTCCACATAGTCCGCCTGGAACACTAGACTTTCAGACTGTAAGATATTATTTTTCACAAAATCAAATAAACAGTTTTGACACATGCTGCAAACTCAGGTTACGTACTAAAATTAAACACATATGCACTAAAAATTTCAGAGGTAGTGACATTGTTTTGAGGCCCAACACTCAAGACAATAGTTGAGCATCGGAAATTTGAGATATCTAAGAAATCAACTGAGCTTACCTTCACTGTTATTGGCTTACTACTTGCCATTCAAGCAGGGTCTTGACTCCTAATAAAGACAGTGGTTCGCTAAAAGTTTGGAGCATCCATTGGAGCTTTATGACGTGCCTCATCAGTATTAAGAGCTTGTGATCTAAATATAAAATATAGTAAGAAAATCCTAGAACAACAAGTAACGAATGTTATATGAGATATTATTATCCAGATCATGACTTTCTAAAAATACAGACTAGTATAATTCAGATCAAGACTTGCTAAAAATTCAGAAGGTCGACAACTTCTTAGTAATGTCTTGGTAGGTTTATAGGTGTGGGTAATCAGGAGCTTCTGAGTTCAGGTCAAGGTCGACAACATTGGCAGCGAAAAACTCCATGCCACCTGCATTGGAAAGCGGAAGCATAACTCAACATTAGCATAAACTGAAAACCATGTAAGGATCGCTCAAACAACATATAGGAAGAGAAAAGTCTCAGCAATGAAGGACAAAGTAACAAAACTCATGTCTGACTCTTGACTCTAGCTGCATAGAGTGACCGAACTGAACTTGACAGAAACAGATAGCAGCCAACTAAAGTTGGTGATCATTACGTTCTCAACAAGAATTTTTTAACAAAAGAACACACAAACTAGCTACTGATTCCAGCCAAAGCTTGAGCCCATTTTTTATATACCATAGCAAATTCCATTCCCGTCTCAGCTGTACAAATACAGTGATAGCAGCTGTATAAATCAGTACTGCACAGCGGTATAATCAGACTGTGAAAATATTGTGAATGTCTACCTCACCCATGCAAACAGTCATGACTCAATCACCAGGGACATAAAGACACTACCGAAAAAAAAACTAGCTGGACCATCAACTCTCAGCAGAAAATACAAGTGCAATATGGTAATCTGTTATATACATAAATCTTAGCATTTTAGCTAGTCCCTCTGCTTTCTTATGCATGACGTTGGTAAGGTTGGTGAGCTCAAAATTGAATTAATCAACGTCTTATATAGAAAATCGGAAAGCGATTTCTTTTAGTAAAATATATCAGATTGTTCAATAATATACCTGTGGCATAATCATTACAGTTGAACTATCTAGAATTGGCAAATTGGTTAAAGCATGTTTATCTCGGAAATAAGTCATCTGCAGTTACTAGTGAAAATAACAAGGAATAGTTACTTGGTTGTAACAAGGAATAGTTACTAGTGAAAATCCCTTTACTACAGCATGTGTGTGATGAGCAGGTACAACATGTTTAAACTAGCCCAAATTAAATTGTTCACTAACAAGTCAAATTAACAGTTATATTGTAGCCAAAAGAAGACACAAAGCTATTGATTCCCATCTCAGCTGATTCCAGTCAAAGCTTGAGCCCATTTTTTATATACCATCGAAAAATCCATAGCAACTAAAAATCAATAAGCAGCAAGCATATTTAAACTAAAAAGGCATGGTCCTGGTTTCAAGTAGAGACAAGACTAGTGCACAAGCAAATGCTCTCGGCTCTGCTCTCTACAAATGAGTCAAACATTTATTTATGTTGATCATGCTCAGATAAATAGAACAAAAATTAACTATAAGACTTGTATAGGTGTTGGTATAAAAATTTTCTATGGCATGTCTCTGTATATTGCTAGAAGCAAAATTCATGGAAGCAGCAGGCTAGCAGCGTATCAGCTCAGCAGCAAAATTCACTGTAGTTATGTTGGCCAGTCAAGCAACAAAACCTCATGATAGTAAATTGGTCAAAATACATGTAAATCACTGAGGCTGTTACAAGCATATGAGCACATCCACGACCTGATGCTAGTGCAGATGTATATACTTCATGGCATCTATCATCAAGCATTGAACAACAGTGACAAAATTGACCATCTCAACATGAATGATTCATGCTGTTCCAGATTGGGCTAAATAGGTTGTCCGGCTTGAAGGTTAGATATATACCTGCAGCATTGGAAGGCGGAGGCATGGAATCCAGCTGGGAGAAGAAATCAAAACCCATGGCATTGGCATTGTCTTCCTCTGGATCCATGAATCCTGGGACCCCAAACCCACTCGACGATGACGGATCCATGGCTAGGGCGTGGCAGCGGCACACCGGGAGAAGGAGGCAGGGGAGGATCAGGAGCCGCCAGGCATCAGGTGCGGGTTCTGGCATCGAGGTCGCCCTCCTCGTCTTCTCCCCCGCTGGCAAGCTGTGCGAGATGTGGGGCGCGACCTAGCGGCAGCGTGTGCATGTGGTGGCACGGCGAGATGTGGCGGCGTCAGTCGAGGGCTTTTCAGGTGGGCGAGGCGCTGTCGAAGCAGATGGCCGGGCAGCGCTATCGCGGGCTGCAGCGCGGGGAGATCTAAGGGTGGGCCAGGAGCGGGGGGATTTGGGGTGGGTGGCGCGGGATTTGTGAGGAAGAGGGCGCACGGTCGAGCAAGATAAAGAGACCAGCGGCGGATTCGAATCGGAGGGGAGGGGGAGAGAGGGGAACGCGGTGGGAGCAGGCTCTTCTCTAGAATTGGGATTCGAGGGAGGGAAGAATCTAGGGTTTGTCATTGTATCAGTGGAATGGTGGTGGGGTGGGCAAGCTGGGTGTGGGGTCATTTTTTAGTGATAGACAGATCAACACTGTATCTCTTTTTAGCGACAGACCGATTAACGGTAAATACGAATATCTATAGCGACAGACAATCAATCAATAAATGGGGATTTAGCGTCAGATGGTCTATGAGTTATCTTTAGCGACAGATCATCCATCGATAAATATAATTTTTAGCATCCAATGTCTGACGGTGATACGGTGTTGTGGTGTAGTGTCGCGAACTGTTAGAGTTCAGGGAGAAGCAAGGCGTCGCTACCACAGAACCAGCAACCGCACCATCACAAACCCCATTACTCGCAAGCATTCTTCTAGCACCAGATGCTCGGAGATGTGCCACTAACGTCCTTGCGGACGCAATTGGCCCCTAGAAGGCAGCATCCTAACTCTAGTGAGTCAAACACACGAAACGCCTGAAAAGCTTGGCTACGGATGGCTCGAAATAGGGGGGTCCGCCCCCATTTATAGGCTCGAGCACAACTATGCGACGCGTGATCCCCGAGCCACGTGGCACAAAATGGGGTGGGTAGAGACAGAGCCTATGTGCGGCTGAGACCTCGAGGCTCTACAAGGAGCGCAGAGCCTACGAGGCTGTGAGCAGACTCGACAACACAACTCAACTCATTCTTCGTCTTAGGGCTCCTTGCATATGCCATCAGTCAGACCAAGCAGGCAGTAGTCGCATGGAAGCCAAGGATGTCCCAAGCGACCAATGAACCGTAGACTCACACATCGCCCACCAAGGTACCAATGACAAGATAACACATGTTGGCATTTCTTAGCGCAATCACCAAGTGTGGAGGTTTTAAGTCCATACTTGGCAACGGCGCTAGAAATACCTGGTGGTATTTCTTAGCACCATCACTAAGATTGAGTTAACCTTAGCGACGCCGCTAAGAAACACCAACTACAATAGCTCTTAACAATTACAGAAAATATCTAATAGCACATGGATCTATCATTATAGCATTTCACCCAGAAGTATTCAGGGTATCGTTATTTATATTTTCCCAAAGTAGGGAAAGGTGTAAGAGTCTAGCATGAGCATGAACACGATTACATACTTGCATAGTGGACCATAATTTATGACAGGGGAAAAAATGGTATTTTAAGGATAATGGACACACATTTGGGCCAACCTCAAGGATAAAAGAAAAACAAAGAATAAAAGAATGTTCCTACGTGGAGCCAGCATGTTCTAATATAGCCGTGCAAAGAACAATTAATGATCATACAGGTTATATGACTAGAGTTAGAACTAAGTGTGAGATGAATGGGGAGATCTCCGAGCATTGGTCTACCAGCGAGCCAGGGAGACTTTAAGACTCCTACACGATACCCGAACAAGGGGGATAACAAGGGATGGACAGGGCTGTCACCACCTGCTGCCTACCCCTCAACCGGGGGTTACCGTCATATCTGAAAGTTCCTGTGTACCCGAGCACCACGCCCGTGTACAAAGAAACTACCCGTATCCCCATAGGACTCTGACCCTACGGATCGATAAGCAAGAATATGGGAAACCAAAAGGAACGACGAACTATCACCTCAACCCTAGCTCTACTTCTACCCATACAAGTCATATGAATGATTAAGCATGAAGTTGAACATGTTAAGATCACAACACACAAACTATATGCTAGTTCATATATCATGATTATAACAAGACAACTATACCCTAGTTCATATGCACTACTATATAAATGATATGAGAGCAAGACTTTTGGAAGAACTCTTCATAGTATTCATACCAAGATTTCCCTCTTCTTGCAAGGATCCAAGCCCTCCTTGATAGCTTTGCTAGCTCACAATACTACTACAAAAACTAAAAGAGAGTACAAGTGGAGAGGTGAGGTGTGTAGCTCCAAATGGTTGTGTGTTGAATGGTGAGCTCTAGCCTCTTATTTATACTAAGGTGTGGTCGGTTTGGTGTAGATAAAATAGGAAACCACCGTGGACCGACGTAGCATAGTGACATGCAACTACCTGAGGGAGCTAGGCCTAGGTGGCAGCAGTAGGGGTGTGGCCATAGCCCTAGTGCACCTGCACCTAGGTGGGGCCGCCTCATGACTGTCTTCGCGTGGTCGGTTCCTGGGTGGGCCTGGACCCCTTCGACATCGGTGCTCAGCCCAGAATTGTTAGTTGGATGGACCTTTGCTTGGTTCCTTTGTGCTTTTTCTGCTTTATGCTTTCTCTCTTGCACCTTTTGTTTTGTTTTCCATTTGTATTCAAATGTGTGTCCTGCAAAACATGTTTTCTCCAATACAAGTGGGACTATGTCAAAGTAAAAGCATATGTGTATAAGTTTGCTTAATTTCTACCGAGGTAAGTTGTGTAGTGTCACACCCAATTTTAAGGATAAAATTGAATGCACAAAACTCGTGTGTGCCCAGGAATCAATCACACACACAAGCTGACAAATTACATAAAGTATCATCACGGTGTCTCATACATCAGAGTTATAATAAAACTTAGTCTTATACATCACAGCGGAATAATAAAAAGATAATAAAACTCTCGTGGCCGTCATCACAGGGAAGGTCAACTGGTTGACCACAAGCCTAATAATCCTCTGGGAAATCCTCATACCCGTTGTCATCTGTTACCCATCCGTGATTTTTATCCAAGTAAAGAAAATAAACAAGTGTAAGTACATTCCGTACTTAGCAAGCTAACATGGGGTTATGAAGCTCAAAAAGGATAGACTCAGGTTTACTGTAGTTAGCATTTTTAATAGGTCAAGCTTTTATTCTCAAGTATTATCAAGTTATGCTTAAGCTCCCATTTAATTCCCATAAGAACATATATCAGAGTCATGTGTACCATATATCATCATTAAACAACTTTATAAGATCATCATCAAGTATCCAGTTATTCTGTGAGTTTTCCGGGCCGCTCGTAACCGTGAGCATGACTGTTATAACAGTTTGTTACCCTCTGCAGAGGTGGTGCACATTCACCACGAGTCGTGATCCCCATATGCCCGGGTTAATTACTCCCATGTCACTACCAAGGTGAGCGGGCAGGGTACACTATAAAGCCATTTCATAGGTTTCCCTAACAAGTTAGGGCCGCTAGGTTTCCTTGGCAGGCAGATGTAGGGACTCCCCTTTCCTATGGCACAAATCCATCGCGACTATACACATAGGAACAGAGGCAGCCCTATACCCAAAGTGGCAAGCCCCATTTGTGCCAAAAAGGTAACCTCTAACCAGTTAGGAAAGGTCCTATTACTGAGCTAAAGCCAGAGCCATATGACTCTCCCGGTTGCACTGTCAGTCCCAGCTTTTGCCGACAGATAAGTCCTTATGGAGGGCCGGGAGCAACATGAACAAAGGTCATTTGCACTTTCGCCCTATGGAACAGTTGTTATAAATCATGTTACTCACTTTGTTCCATAATATCATTCATCAACATGTATGTCAAGTTCAGTTAGAGCACTAGCAATCTACCCACATGCATTTAACCCATAGGAGACAAGGAACAGGATAAACAATCACTAGGATGTCCTTACGGGTATCAAAATTAGACACATGCAAATGAGTAATTGATTAAAGTGAAGTAGGACATCAAGGAAGGCCCATGCTATACTTCCCTTGGTTCACAAACTCGTGCTGGTCCTGCTGGTCGTCGAAGAGTTCTTGGTCTCCCACGTTTTCCTCACCGTCTGAACGCGATCAACACAGCAACATACAACATTCCAAAAGCATTCATGCAAAGCAAACATTCCTATCATTACAACAGTACACCAACAGTATTGAAATCAAGATAAAATGTTTGTAAAACTAATCTATGTCTCGCTACGATCACGTCAACGCGAAGTTCACGAAAAACGGAGCTAAAATGCGAAAGTTATGATTTAAACGGGTTTTCCTATAGCCATATATTTAATTAAATCTAATCATGAAATTAAAAAGTTCCAAACTTGACTAACAGTAGCTCCAACATGTAGCTTATGAAATTACGAAGCTAACGCGATTTGAATGGATCAATTCGGAGCTAAAACGACAATTTTATAAGCAAAACAGTTCAAATGGCATTTCTGTAATTACTGAAAACGTATTTTTGACTTAAGCCGTGGAGTTTACGCTTTCCAAACGGGATTGCGCGTTCGGGAAATACGCTTTGGGCTGCGGGTTAGGACTTAGAAAAGTCCAGGGACTCTTTAGCAAAATTACCCGCGAAGGGATATCTTCTAATCCTGGCCATTGATCTCGCGATGGATACTGACCACGGTTTCCCTGGTGAGTTGGTCCTTGATTCCTCTGCTGGAAACCTTGCTGGGGATAAGCACGTGGGCGAGTGTTGCTTCCAGAAGCTTGCCCTTGGAGCCTTCTCTTCTTAGCTTCCATCTCCTTGCGCTTATCATCAATCACGATTGCGCGATTCACCAAAGACTGGAAGTTAGGATAAGTATTAGACATCAGCTGGAGCTGCAGTCCATCATAGAGTCCCTTGAGGAAACGGCGTTGCTTATCCTTGTCATCCGCTACATCATTAGGAGCGTAGCGTGATAGTTGCGCGAACTTGTCCCGATACTCTGCCACAGTCATTGATCCTTGCTTGAGAG